CTGGTATTCTGATATTTTTGATTTACTTTTTAAAAATCCCCATTCTACCTATAGCTTTACTTCTTGCTTTGCTTTAAAATGTGGCAAATAGATACACTTGCAGTTTTCAAAACATTCTCAGTCCTTTCTTTATTCTCCCCACATCCCACAATTTTTGCACTCTAATTAAATGTAGCAGTTAATTTTATTCCTCTGCTCCAGATTTCTTTGAACAGATGAAGCAGATTTAAATGCCATCATATCTCTGGGACATTTAAAGCAAAGCAAAGTGTGCTACTTATATACCATCCCATAGTCTTTAAAACACTCTCTGGGCAGTTTACAATTTAATTATGCAGGCTACACATTGCACAAACACACCACAAGTTGGGTACTCCATTTACCAACCTTGAAAGGCTGGAAGGCTGAGTGAACCTTGAGCTAGGAACCTGGGATTGAACCCAAATCGTGAGCAGAGTTTTGGCTGCAGTACTGCAGTTTAAGAACTGCACCATGAAACTCCTTTATTTTCCTATTACACTTGCAGTCCCTCTTGTTTCTTCAATATGTGAGCTCAACTCATAATGAGTTCACTTAATCTTAGTTCTTAAAAGCAAGTGCTCCAACTGCTACAGCTACCCTCTTCCCTTTGGGCCTGAATTGTATCCAGAAGAAACAGTAGTGGTGAAATCACTGCTGTTGTAGCCTCCATTCACATAATTGGAAGTGTGGGAAGCAATAATGCCCAGAAATCCTGGCATCCATTCCAGCATACTTCCATGAGCATCCTCAGCAGCATCCCAGACACTGAGATCCATTTATCAGGGACTCGGAAGTCCTGAAAAAAAGTTGGTCGAGAGTGGATAGATGTTCTCCCAGAAGCCACCAGGGAACATGTTTGGCTATTTTAGGATTATTGGTCCATTGGTACATTTCAAAGGCAGAAAATCATATTTGATTTAAAACTGGGAGTGACCGTTTTTAATTTAGAATTTCTAATTTTGAATATAAGAAGGTGGGGGCATCCCTCAGAGATTCAGGGTTAGGGCTGAAACACACACACCAGCTCCAGTATCTGAACACATGGGCAGATGTTTGATATTAAAACAACAGAAATCAATGTGGTGTTCCAGTAAGGAGCTGAAAAAAGAAGTTTGGGGGTTTTTTTAGGTCAGAGAGAACAAAAAGCAGATGCATAGTAGCAACAGAGGGCAGCCATGTGTCATTGAAACAACAAAAACAGGCAAAAAACAACAAAAGACAAAATAGGATGCTGATTTCCATTAAAATTGCAGGCTCTATAGATTATTAGCAGTATCAGTAAACATTGATTAGGAAGCTTTATGATTTATATGTCATTCTTTTTTGTGTTTTTAAAATAATTTGTAAGGAAGGCTGGAAATGGAAGAGCAGTCACGTGATATAGTTATTTCATACTATTATTGATGGCTGTCCTTTTGTTTTGAAAAATGGAAATCAGTTGATGTTCTGAAATATCAAAATATTCCATTAATTCCCACAGAAACTGTCCAGGAGGGGTTTTATATGAAGTCTAGGAAAACCCCTACCCGTTAGGAAGTGCAATAATATTTAGCCAGTGGTGAGTGATTATTCTCAAACTTGATTGATTCATGTAAAGTGGGCTGACTGGGATTCAACTTAGCTCAATATGATCATTTGAGCTCAGGACCCACTGAAAGCCCTGTTTCAAAGTAGGTGGTAGGGTTCACAGAAATTGTAATTTTTTTTTTGTCAGCAGTGAGAATCATATTAGGGGCACCTCAGTTCCCATCCTAGTCTAAAACCATGTAGGCCAGAAGCTCTCATTGTAATCTGAGTCAACAGCTTCCAGAATTTTTTTTTACATCTATAAGATGTATGTGAAAACGGAACAGAGTATTCCAGAAAGTGGTATCAGCAGAGCTTGGATGGCACGTCAGGGATGCTTTAGCTGTGGAGTTCCTGCATCAGAAGGGGATTGGACTAGATGACCCTTCGGTACCTTCCACTTTCTGGAGTCCAGCAATTCTCTCTTTATGTGATGGCACAGTTTGTCCAAACTCAATTGCCAATCAGTGTGCCTCCTGCCTTGGCTATAAGTTCAGCAATAAACCAGGGTGTGTTCCCAAGAAGACGAGGTGAACAACATGAGGCACTCCAGAAGTTGCTAGACTGCAACTGACCTGATCACTCACTATTGCTCTTCTGGCGAGGGTTCATAGGAAAGATATTCCAGTATCATCTAGAAGGCCACAAGTTACTAATTTCTGGGACAGAGAAGGAAATATCTATCATTTTTTATCTTCCCCCATTTAAAAATGTTTAAACTTGTCCATCCAAGATGTAATATTTGTTTTACAATTTGCATATATTCTTCCAAATCTGAAATAAAATTCCACCCCATTTGCATTAGCCAAAATCAATAGGTATAGATAGCTCTTCAACAAATGAAGAAGATCCTGTCATACCTGCCTGACACATAGATGTCTGAGGCAAACAATCATTTACATTCACAGGGATTCAAACTTAAACTTTGAAGAACTTTTAACATCTTATGAAGGAGCAAGGGAAGAAGAAAAAGGCTAATGCAGTTCTAGTTTGTATCAACTAAAACATGGTGTCCAGCTCTAGAAAAGAGCTAATAGTACTACTGTACTCTGCTTTGGTCAAACCTCACTCGGAGTACCAGGTTCAATTCTGGACATATAAGCAAAGTGGAATGTGTACAAGCTGGTAAAGGCTCTAGAAAAACATTCCTGTGAGGAACACTTGAGAGAGTTGCTAAGTTTAGCCTGGAGGACAGTCGATTAAGAGGCGATATGATAGCCGTTTTCAACTATTTGAAGAGTTATACCTTTGAAAGCAGTGGGCTTGTTTTCTTGAGGCTCCAGAGAATGTCTTCAAGCAACAGATTCAAATGACAAGAAAGGAGAGTTCAACTAACATTAAGAATTTCCTGACCCAACGCTCAGGAGGTGGTGGTCTCTCCTTTACTGGAGGCTTCTAAACAGAGATTGGATGGCTATTGGTCAGGGTGGAGTGGGGGGTTTCTAGCTTTGGATTTTATGCTTTGGCAGGGAGTTGAAGTTGTGACTTTTCCTGCCAATACTGCAATTCTAGGATATTGTGAAGTGGCTTAAACAGAGTTATGAACACATGAGGGTGGAGATGGTGAGAACAAAGAAAGAGATGGAAATGATGCTCTATACTAAAGCACTATTTTAAATATGAATTTAATGCAGAAATATCTTTTTTTTGAAGTTCAAGATAATATGTTATTGGCAGAGTGAGGAGAAAAAAAGAAAATAATATTTTTCATCAAAAGCTCTTGACAACTTAATGTGGAAATACATATTTTTCATTACAGATGCTGAAAATATCCAAACAGAAGTTGGATGATGCATGACTTGGAAGAGGGTACATGAGGTTTCATTTCTGTTTTTCCACAATCTGTGTAATGTTTTCTAGGGATGGACAGTGGATCATCTGAGTAGCAAGATAAACTCCAAGATAAGAGGAGCAGTATTTTCTCCCCATGACATTATTCCTCCCACCAACAGATATCCTTGCAAAAGAAAACAAACCTACCTTCAGAGGCCTGTGAGAGTGGGCACAGATGCAAAATGGCAGCAGAGACAGGAGTCTACTTCAGAGATTTCCAACCTGTAGATCTGCAGATGCTTTTGGACTAGACCTCCCAGAATGCCTCATCATCTTGGCCAGGGCAACTGGGGTTTGAACAACATCTGGAGACCCAAGGTAGGGAGCCACTGGTCCAGAAGCTGGTATACTGGGATGAGACAAATCTAAACCAGAAGCCAAAGTACATTGTATGTAATTATTCTTCCTTAAAAAAATCTGCTGAGGAAGAGATTCTTCCTCTGAATGCTGTGTGCAGCACAGGCTTCAGCCAGTTTCTCACTTCACAGCTACTGTACATGTCAAGTGAAAAATGTGGCTGTGAGCTTTAGAGGGAAAATGTTCCTACTGGTACCAAAGGGAATATAATCCAGAAGCAAAGGTCATCAACCTTAGTTTTTAGGGTGACCTAGGCCATGAGACTGATATTACCCTTCACTTAATTTCAAAAGCTCTACAAATGATCGGTTCACATGGCTACATAGAAGAAGCCTCCATGAAGAGTGGGAAAGCATTGTGAGCATCTTTGGGCACCCCTTGGACAATGGCGTGCAGCTGACAAATCCTTCACTTGTAGAACTATTGCATTGGAACACCACCAAGCCAACACACTTCATGGAAACTGACCCCTTGGATGATGGCTGAAGTCAAGGAAAAAGTCTCTGCACGCATCTCAAGCTCTGACTCCTTCTGGTCAAAAATAGTCCTAATTATGATTCTCCTGACATCTTAATTGCTTTTTGATTTTGCCTATATTTCACATGTATCCATGATTTTGAATTGTGAAATGCTCTGATAGGAATAAAGAACTACAAGAACGGTCTCTTCTGTAATAGCCCTGCAATTGGGTAGGAAAAGCGACAGGGGAAGGAGGGAGAGAGAGAGGAGGGGTGGGCGGGAGAAAGAAAAGAGAGTGGAAGGAAGAGAGAAAAGGGCAACTTTCAACTAGACAGGGCTCTCGATCTTCAGCCCCACCCATGACCACTGACAGATTTTCCCCCAAGAGAAGTCAACAAAGATAAGGTTGCCCACTGTTGTCTTAAACCACCAAGCCATATAACGGTAGTGGAGGGAGTGATTCCAGTTGTGAGGGAAGCGCTAAGCCTCTGCATCAGACAAGCCTTCTGAAATTTGGGGGAGAGACTGCAGAGACCCAAGCTTGTTATGACTATCCAAACAAAATTCCAATCTTGGCACAAAACTTTCCATTTAAATCCCCTCCTCCACATCTGACAAATATAACACTCAAATTTTTCAGAAATACCAAGTATTCAGTTATTCTAAGCACTAGCGTGGGCTATAATTAATATAAATGGGACCATCTCTCTCTTTCTCTAAATATTCATCACGCACATCCCTGGAGGTTAAAACCAAACAGAAAAGAATGTGCATCGGTGTCATTTATTTTCCAGAACTAATCCGTCTTCCAAAGCAGAGCAAAAAAGAAGCACCATAAAAATTGCTCAATGTCACATTCAAAGAAATATTTTAGGTTTTATATTCTCCATCATCCAATATATTAAACTGCCTCTTGGGTTTTGTTGCTTCGTCCATTAGTTCTCGCAGCTGTCCGACTTGCTCATCTCGAAGAGCATTCAGTTTGTCCTCTGGGAGGTGGGATCCAAAGGACGGCTGACTGGTTGAGGTCTGTGTATTTTGACTCACTTGCTGATACAATGTTTCTGCATAGTTCTAAGAAGAAGAAGAAGAGACAGGAAGATTTGACAGAATACATTGATGACTTGGAGATAAACAAAGTGGTGGAAGATCTTCTGCACTAGACCTTTTCATGTAATAAACATGCCCTGACACTTCCTGAGGTGGCCATTTGGCCAGCAACCAAAGAAAACAGGGCTTATGTCTTAGAAATTCAGCTTCTCAGTAATTCCCTCATCCTGCCATACAGCTTAGGAGCAGCTTTTATGTTTGGCTTTGGAATATCATGACTCTGTATCATTCTCAGAATCTGGGAAAGTTACTTTTTTGGACCACAAGTTGGCTAGTGCCATGCTGGCTGCAGGATTCTGGGAGCTACTATCCAAACTCTGGTCATTCTAAATTTTAATTGGCTCTATGTGTTTAGTGCTCCTGCTGCAGCAATACATATCCTATAAAGAAAATTCTTGAGGTGCATGCAAAGTGATTCATGGTCATTATGCCAAACCCTATTATAAACCTGTTTCTCCAACTCTAGGCCACTGACAGTGAAAGATACTTTAATTATTTGCTTAATTCCGTCCTTTTTATCTTAAGTTCAGAACTACCTATTATCTGTTAAGCAAGACATCATCTTTGTCCAAAATATTACATTTCCTTGGTGATAAATACAAGAAATGTACACTGGCAGAGATGTGACATATTGTGTCTTTCTACTGATAAATAAACAAATCAATAAATAAATTGTTCCAAGCTTCTAGGTGTTTGCAGTTCGCTACAGAAAGGTATATTGGTCATATCATCCTTCGCAACTGGTGATGCTCCAGGTGTTTAGAAGACTCTAATCACTTCTGACCACTAAGCAACCAGGGAATTGTGATATAAAATAACTGGAAGGACCCAGCTTGAAGAAGCCTAGCATATAATATATTGTTTTCAAACCAACCATAACATAAAGCAACTACCGTATACATTTTTTGCAATTTCTACTGTTTGTTAGCATGGTAGCTGAGAAGTAATTGATACAGTAGTTTGATTTTTTTTAATTAAAAAAGGACCTGCTGTCTGTTTTGATATCTCATTTGCCTAACACACGGTTTTTCACATTTGAAAATACCTTGAGATTTCAGTTAATTAAACAGCCTGTTTGGTTGATAACATTATTTTTGGACATCGGAAGTGATCAGTTGGTATGCTTCAGTATGTTCAGTTCTTTGAATATACTTTGAGATATTCAAACTGAAATCATTTTCAATTGAATTTTAAAACCCTAGCCATGGCCCTATAATATGCATTTTCTCATGAAACTCATTGATTGACAAACCCAGCTGAGATATACTGTTGACTTCAATGCAGTTCAAAGCAGGATCTCCAGCACCAGGAAAGTGGACAGCTCCATTTATGGCCTAATGTGCTGTTTTTCTGCTTGCTGTTTTGTGAGCAGATGTCACTCTTTTAAATATATGAAGTTTCTTCTTGTGCAAGGAGATATGCATACCCAAACCACTTGTGCAACAGCTTATTGTGCGAACAGATAGTCAAATAACCCACAAATCGTTGTGGAATTTTAAATGGATTTCCATCGTGTGTAAGAATGAATAATTATTTCTTGAATTTTGGCTATATAAATACAGTGGTGCCCCGCTTAACAATTATCCCGTTTAATGATGAAATCGCTTCACGATGTGTTTTTCTGCGATCGCTTCATACTTCGATTTGCTTCGGGAACTGATTTTTCGCTTTGCGATGATCAGAAAACAGCTGATCGTCGGGTTTCAATATGGCCGGCCGCTGTTCAAAATGGCTCCACACTGTGCTTAGGACGGATTCCTCACATTACAGGCACCAGAAAATGGCCGCCCTATGGAGGATCTTCGTTGGACGCTGAGGTATTTCGCCATTGGAACGCATTGAGCGGTTTTCAATGTGTTTCAATGGGCTTTTTATTTTCGCTTGACGACGATTTCATTCTACAGCAATTTCGCTGGAATGAATTAACGTTGTCAAGCGAGGCACCACTGTATACATTTATATACAAGTTAATTTGTGATACTGAAAAAGAACAAAACCTTCCTCACATATAACAAGTATTGTAACTATATCCAAGTATAACAGACTGTTACAATCTAATACGATACTAGGCAACTTCAAGAGATGTCAAGCACACACATTCACCACTAGACCTGGAAAAGCTATATCTACTCCAAACTCCTGCCTCACCCAACCCAAAATTCTTTCTAAAGCTCCATGCCCCCTAGTAATTAAGAAATTGCAAACATCTTCAGGGAGGGTATAGGAAGCCTTGGGTGCTGTGTGACCCTCCAAATCTGGCAATATTGCCTCCCATATATACTCAAAAACACAAGGGCACCTTTTCAGAAAAACAACAACCCTGTAACATTTTGAATGGGGATATAAAGGATTAGAGGCATACCTGGGTCCCAAGGGGATGCATTCAGCCCATAGCCCACCTTTTGTCCAACCCAGACGAAAGGATCTGCAATTCTTAACACATGTTCTTAAGAATACATCTTATATAACTGTATACTCCGTCAGGGCCATGTTTGAAAGAAGAAATATAATCACTGTTGTCATTGTCATCTTAGAATTGCACGGTTGGAAGGGACCCAAAGGATGAAGTCCAGAACCTATCAAGAAGGACAGTAGGGAATAAAATTCCCAATTCCTGGCTCTGCAGCCAGAAACCTAAACTAGTGAGCTATATTTAGGAAAGTGATTATTTTTCTTATATCTTTCCTACCACTATGATTTTTTAAATAAAATCATATAACCAGTAACAGGTTTGAAGAAGCTATTTTAAGCAAAATTATTACTCAGTAAGCTTGAAACACATCACTGCCCTTCATTTTATCACTAATTTTTTAAAAAATCTAATGGTAAGTGTTGAAAATTAATCTAATAATATTAAAAATATTGTCAACATCACAGCTTCACTTCCTGTTTGTTTTCACTTTCACAGTGGCTACAATTTTGATCGCACACCCCCTTGCCCACTCCAAAACTGATTTAAAAGACCTAATGGAACACCTAGGTAGATAAAATGGTGGAATCAATTAGGAAAGCTAATCTGAACTGACGGTTATTTTCATTTCCATTTGAACTCAGGTACTGAGTCACTGGTGGCAATTTCTCATCAGGTCTTTTAAGCAGCCTTTACCACTGAAATAAATCTGTTAATTGTCATGCCATGGATTCCCTTTCACCCAACTATGACATCAGGTGGCATGTTTTTCAGCTAATTCTTGTGATGTTCCCACCCCAGATTATCAGCTATTTTATCATCCTTGATTTTATCGACCAAGACAACATTCCAACATTTTATTAGCAAATCTCTGGGGCCCCTTTTAAACCAACAAACATAAGCAGTAACATTTCAAGAATGGCTGGGATCTCCCTCTTTTGCTTCCCACAATGCCCCACTCTGCATAGCAACCGGCTACTCCAAGGTGGTGTCGGAACTAACATGGAGGCTCATAGATCCAACTGCCTGATACAGAAATTCTGAGGAAGGAGTTAGCATTGGCGGTTATCATTTAGCATTACTAGACACAAGATTCTGGATGAGGTAATACTTTATTATAATACTAAAAATCTTAGAACTGCAGAGCTTGAAGGGACCCTGTGGATCACTGAGTCCAGCCCCTTTAAAAACTACTAATAAGATCAGCTTTCAAGTTCTAGAGAATTCTTCAGCAGGTGAAGATGGTATAGAATGTGGAATACAAGTTGAAAGTCCATAAATTCTTGCCTCCACTAGTTCTGTCTCATGCAGAATCTAAAATTCCATTTCTCCCTCTTGTCTGATATCACAAGGCATGGGCATCATATATATGGCCCAATTTTTGGACCTCCTCTTTGAACTCCAAGTTTCATACAGTATTTGCTAATAAAGTGTTCTGTGGAGGTCAAAAGTTGAACTTATTTGGAACTTTAAAGTGAACCAGTCATGATACAGTCTAATCCAGAACTTTGCTAGTGCTCAGAACGACTGCAGGTCAGGCTTCCTGCTTAAAGGCACTGGGCTGCTGACGTCTATGACAAACATCCTTGTGTCCTCACAAAAATCTACAGCCTTCTATATTCATGAAATCAACTAGGCATGTATGAAAGACTGAACTTAAACAAACAGAACAGCATTGCATGTACACCAGGAGTTTCAAAGAGAATCAAAAGGGAATCAACCCATTAAAAAAACATGGTACCAGACTAATGTGTGGATCTTTTTTTAAAATCCCATTGGTAGAAAGACCTAAGCAGTTCAAAGACATCTAGGTCTTTGAAAAGCATCCTTTCCACACTCTAGTTATTTCAAAGTCTTCTACAGAGAAAAAAACCCGGTTCACTACAGTGAAATTTATCTTTCAAAGGACTACACTAACCTCATTGTCGTTTTTTGACAATGAAATAAGCACGTGCTTAAGTGGTTCTATAGGGCAAAAATCTACAATGAACTCTGAATTAAAATGGAGACAAGTAGGCAATATTCCCACAGAAACTTAATTTTGGATCTACTAAAGGTGGAGTCAATATTCTTAGAACTGTAGAGCTGGAAGGGACCTTATGAATCATCAAGTCCTGCCCCTTTCAAGGAGGCACAGTGGGGAATCAAATTCCAGATGCCTCAACCACTGGGCTAACCAGCAGTTCAAGCAAGACACTTCATGCAAACAAGCGTTTTAGAACAGGGGTGCCAGCGGTCCACGACCTAGGCAGGACCAGGCCGTGGACAGAGATCTCCTGCCCCCCCCCCAAGCATGGCCCCTGCAAGCGCAACACAAACCCCTGTGAGGGTGACACGCCCCCTGTAAGCACGACATGCCCCCCCCCATGCGAGCATGCCACACCTGTCCAGTCGGACCAGGCCGTGGACAGAGATCTCCTGCCGTGGACAGAGATCTCCTGCCCCCCCAAGCATGGCCCCTGCAAGCCAACACACACCCCTGTGAGGGTGACACACCCCCTGTGAGCACAACATGCCCCCCCATGCGAGCATGCCACACCCGTCCAATTGGTCC